TCTTTGCGGGGGGGGGGCCCCCCCCCCCCCCCCCCAACATTGCAAGGATTAAGAAAATTTGCTTTAAAGCTGAACTCCAGCCTAACAGCTAAATACACATATAATTCATATATAGGAGCTGTTATACCTGGAAAAGGATTTGTGTTTCTACCCATCTAGTTCTGAGATTTACACAGCTCTGCCTCACAGCACAGCCCTGTCTGGCAGGAGAGGAGACCTGGTCTTTCTCTTCTGAAGTTCAAGTGTATGTAAACCTTAAAAGTGACATTGCATTCATTCTTTTAACAATAAACAGTCAATGACCTGCTGCCTATTATGTCCCTGCAGTCCCATTCGCTATGACATACCTGGTGATCCTGTCGGCACCCTTGTCTGCCCATCTAACACAGATCTGTGCTGGCATGGTCACTTTGCAAGCTTGATCTTGGAGTTACAGGGCGCCGTGCCAATGTAAAACATACCTGTACTGTCATGGTCAGCGTAGGCCCCACATCTGCCACCATGCCCCCTCCCTGCCCAGCTGTAACAGCAGCCTATAAGAGCGTGGTCTGCTTTGCCAGCACACCACTCACCCAGTTCTGCTGCAAGAGCATTGCAATGGACAATTGATGGCAGAAGGGAACCTATTCTGCAAAGCAGTGTCCACAGATGGGGAATGTAATTCCCCACTGTGCTTGACGTAATCATGCCATGCACTCCCTTACATGCCTGCCACGTTGAGAAGGACGGGAATCAAGGCTGTGCGGTCACATGACCGCTGAATAAAACTGCAGAACAGACTATGTGAAAGGTGAAGAAGTCTTAAAACAATTTGAGAAAATCATTTTGAATGCTATGCTTTGATTTGTTTTCTTATTGACTTCACAAATACTTTAAGTAACATTTGCAGGTCCCTCTCCCAGCCTGTCACTGGACTGGTTGAATTTGCCTTAAAGTTGCCGTAGCCTTAGATCTTTCTGCTAATGTTCCTAAAAAGGAACATTAAGAAAATTGTCTCTTTCAAAAACCAACTGTATTCAATAGAACAAAGTGTATTGACGTTTTATCACCTGTTTTTTTTAAAATTGTTTTTCTTACAACAGAGAAGAAATTAATCGACTTAATCAAAAGATTAAAAGGTTGGAGGCTGAACTGGAGGATGAGAAAAGGGAGAAAGAAGCTGCTTTAGGGACTGTGAAAAAGGTGCGACTTCCTGTCCATCGTAACGCCTATCTTATGGAGCCAACCACAGGAAAAATGCATGATCACTTTTAGATTATAGGTTGACTTGGAGATCCTCTATCTGTAAGGAGGAACAGTGACATATAAACAGTAAAGAAATCCCACATCCATAATACCAAAAGTAAAGTATACAAATGTGTAAACAAGGTGGGCTAGGATAGGCAACTCTGAAATAGAGCAATGGCATTTTAAAGCTCATGAGTGAGCACACATTTGAAGCTATTTTTATATTGCTTCTCTTAAAGGACAACTTCACCTAGGGATGCCCCCAGCATAATTGCCACCTGAGCGGGGGTGCTGGTGGTTACATTCCAGGTAGGGGGTTGATGGGGTGCTGGAGGCACACTAACCGGGCTCTGGCCAACATCCTGGTGGTGCACCATCCAGCTCTGGCCGCCATACCACCCAGCTCATTGACATCACTGGTTGCCAGGAGCTGGGCAGGATGCCGGGCAGAGCATCCCAGTTTGCTAAGATCTGGGATGGGAGAAGTGTATGGCCCTTACAGAACTCCCCACCTAGCTGTTAGCAACCTGGGACCCTCTGCTGCTGCCCCCCCATGTGACCCAAAGAGATCCTCAGACTGCCTCGCTTTAGGGTTTGGCCTTAATATCACCATTAGTGAAATTGTTCTTCAATAAATTCCCTCACCCCGTAAGTCCAGACCACCTACACTTATACTTAAATTCCTCCCTGATCCAGAAATGTTTTCTCCTTCCTATGGGTAAGCTGTACTCGTGGCAGCCCAAAAAAGCAGGCGCTCAGGAAAGGAAAGATAAAATTGTATTTATTTTTTAGTGCTGCCCTATTATATCGATAAACCCAAAACACTGCCAATAGAAAGTGAAATCTGCTTTATTTTACAGGCCCAAAGTGAGTTAACAGGGTCACGTCCAAGCTCTGCAAGAAGCACACCCAGTGTGACATCCCGAGGGGGGTCCTCTGGTTCCCCTGGAGGAAGAGACAAGCAAAGGCAGCAAGAAGCAGCGCAAGTGATCCAGAAGAACTGGAGACAATATAAAAACAGGGTGAGAATTTCCTCTCTTATTGTTCCTTCTGCTGACACACCAGGAAACATATTACATTTACAATCAACCTATAACCATCCAAGGAGCACTATCCCATTGTTATAGTCTTATGATGTTCTAAAACTCTTCTGGCCACCATGGGTCACTGTTGCCTTCACTAAGCATTACAGATAACCAAAATGCTCTGTTTTGGAAATTTTACAATAAAACTTTTAAATGACCCCTGCTTGGATCCTTTGGACACCAAATCCCAATTAATTATCTTTGGGGGTCTATCGTGGGCTCATTACTTATAATGTAGAACTCTGTTGGGGAGAAGTGAGTCTTTGAAGTGAAATGGAGATTTCCCCATGCAAGGAAAAGCCACGGGTTCTCATCAAGGCAGGCTTCTCTGCAGATTATTATTATTATTATACAGGATTTATATAGCGCCAACAGTTTGCGCAGCGCTTTACAATATAAGGAAGACATTACAATCACAGTACAAATCAAGACAAGATGGTAAGCAGATGCATATTCTTGCTGCCCTGTTCAGCCCGCGGAAGCCAAAAGAAATACCCTATACTTCTGAGTATGTAGGAGCATAAGACTCACTCCATGAGACGTCGCTGATCCAATCAACACTGTCACATGGAGTGAGCCATAGCATATTTCTCCATATCCAAAAGTTCCAAATATTTTCTTTTTAGCTCCCAGTGGCCGGACAGAAGGGTGAGGAAGAAAGGAAGGGTAAGCATGTACATCTGTAGAGGACTGCATTAAAAGGAACCTATTACTTTGCCCTGAAATTGTCAAAGCATAGGTTTGCTTACGGCCTCGTTCACACCTGAACGTTTTGTAGCGCGTTCTATGCTCGACGAACGCTCTAGAAAACGCTCAAACATCTAAATCCCATTGTATTCAATGGGTATGGTTCACACCTTGGCGTATTTCAGCCCGTCCCTAACGCGCTACAAAACGGCCCACGCCTGAAAAGGTACATGTACTACTTTGGGCCGTTTTTGTTGAGCGTTTCAATTGGGATACAGCCAAGTAGCCCTCAGAAACGCGCGTTTGTTGCGCGATTTTTTTACCGTGAATTGCAGTAAAAAAAGCGTGCGACAACCGCGCAACAGACGCGCATATGCAATACGCCTAGATGTGAACCAGGCCTTAGGTCTCGTTCACACCTAGGCGTATTGCATATGCGCGTCTGTCGAGCGTTTTTTTACCGCGATTCGTAAACCAGCTTGCCACACAGGCTGTGTCCGATATACAGGCCACACAGGCTGGTTCTCACCACACAGTTGTATTGCCACACAGTCTGGTTCTCACCACACAGTTTTCCTTTAAACGTTGTGTTCCCCAGCTGCTTGTAAGGTGGATAGCAGATCACTATTGTGGACCAGTAGCAATATGGCAGTTCATGTGTGTTCTTAGTAGAAACAAGTTGCTTTTGAATGATGGAATGTACTTTTATATTTGTGGATCCAAAATGTTTACTGAATACTTTGTTTTACAGAAAGAAGAGGGCCATGACCTGGAGGATGTAAGTATTTATACTGTATTAGATTATGAAATAAGGCCTTATAATATTTGACCAGTTCACACAGGTTTTCCCTCGCAGGGGTTCTCAAACATAAAGTACACACAGCACTGGCAATGAAAACACAGAATAAGCTTCTTGACTTTTACCGTCAGTGTCTGGCCGCTTTGACCCACTGGTCCTCTATCTTTGTTTGTTTCTCAAACTAATCCCAACTGTTGCTCTCACAGTCACACAGGTGCTTTTTCCAACTTGCCACACAGGTGTATTGCCACGCAGACTGGTTCTCACCATACAGTTGTATTGCCACACAGGCTGTATCAAACCAGCTTGCCACACAGGCTGTATCCCACATGCTGGCCACACAGGCTGGTTCTCACCACACAGGTGTATTGCCACACAGGCAGGATCAAACCAGCTTGCCACACAGGCTGTATCCCACATGCTGGCCACACAGGCTGGTTCTCACCACACAGGCTGCATCAAACCAGCTTGCCACACAGGCTGTATCCCACATGCTGGCCACACAGGCGGTATCCCACATGCTGGCCACACAGGCTGGTTCTCACCACACAGGTGTATTGCCACACAGGCTGTATCAAACCAGCTTGCCACACAGGCTGTATCCCATATACTGGCCACACAGGCTGGTTCTCACCACACAGGTGTATTGCCACACAGGCTGTATCACACCAGCTTGCCACACGGGCTGTATCCCATATACTGGCCACACAGGCTAGTTCTCACCACACAGGTGATTTGCTCCCCAGTCCACCAGACACACAGACTCTGTCTCCCAGGTGGAACCCTAAACATTAAATAGCATGCTTTTCATAAGGGCTGTGCACAGGTGCACAATCACTCGGTGCTAGTCACCACTAAAGCCCGGACCCAGGAATAGAGATTTCATCCCTCCCAATGCTCTTTGAAATCTCCCAGTTCCAGGAACCCAAGCCAAATCCAGAAAACCTGGGAAGAACTGCAAAGCCAGCTCTTTCCCAGTAAAAGTTTGTGTTTTCTGGAACCGCTCAGCCCCTCTGGCTGAGAGTCCTGGGTGACAATTTTGCCAAATGACATATATATACAGTATATTACACACACATTTTTTGCACTTTTGGATAGTGTAGGGCAGGCAAACTCCAGCTGTGGTGCAACTACAAATCCCATGAGGGATTGCAAGACTCTGACAGCCAAAGACATGACTCCTAGAATCAGATGCATGATGGAATTTATATTTTCACCAAAGCTGGAGGGGCAGAGTTGGTCCCTGGTTATAGACCTTGTGAGATTGTTTGTTTTATTTTATGCTGCCTGGGGACATTTTCCTTTTACATCCTGTCTTTTTAAGACATCCTGTCTTAAAATGAAGTGAGAGGAAATCTTTCCAAAATGCAGAATAACCCCTTCTTAGACAGTTGTCACTGGAAGAAGTGCCACATTGAAATAATTCCTCTGCCTATTGGTTTTCTTGTGATAGCTGAAAAATCATTGATTTCCCATCATTTTCTGTCCTGGTGACCATCATCAAGGATGAATCTGTTTTATTCCTCCATTCCACAACCACAGTGTAGTGTTCTCTTCTGAGGGCATGGCTTTCTGGGCACACAGGAGCGAGCTTACCACAAATATAATACTTGTAGATAAGACTTGTGATTCTTTGCTATTAAGCAGTAATGTTTGCTGTACACTTTTAGCAGCATGACAGGTTCCCTTTGGAAGCATTTACATGCTATATATTCAGTGGGCTCAGAAGCTTGTTCTAGAAATCTTTTCATGCAGTCTAGTTTATAAAGGTAACCATCATTTGCCAATGTACAATATAAATACATGGCACTTTATTAAAAGCTAGAAGCACAGACAGCTGTGTTATCTGAGATCCCTGACCCAGTGTCATGTTATTAATTGAAAATACTAGACAGATGGCCCAGAAGACATCAGAGATGATTGGCTGATTATTATATCATTGCTGTCTCGATTTAACGTGACTTTTATAGCCCATTCACCGCACTCCATTTTCTGCACAGCATCATTTCCAGCATATGTTAGTCATTTGAGATGTCATTCTTAAAATGAACCTATCAGGATCGTAAAGGTTGCTGTTATGGCTGCAAACCTGATCTAATGGGCTTTTAAAAGTACTGTGCATTGACTTATCTTGAAATGCCTATACACAGGCAGATGGTTGGTAGAAAGGTCATTTTAGATCTTCTTTTCCAATGATTGTCCATTTATGAGTCACCATTCTCGGATGTACAAGGCAATATTCAAAAGCTGGAATGGAATATGTTTTTTAGTGGGGCTGTATGAGAGGGCGCATTCTACTCTTGTACACCATATGGCCAAAAGTGTGTGGACACCTGACGATCAGACCTACACTAAGTGACCAGAAGCATGTGAACGCCTGACCATCAGACCTACAGTAACTCGACAAACTCATGTGGACGCCTGACCATCAGACCTAAACTAACTGGACAAAAGCATGTGGACGCCTGACCATCAGACCTACACTAACTGACCAGAAGCATGTGGACGCCTGACCATCAGACCTACACTAACTGACCAGAAGCATGTGGACGCCTGACCATCAGACCTACACTAACTGACCAGAAGCATGTGGACGCCTGACCATCAGACCTACACTAACTGACCAGAAGCATGTGGACGCCTGACCATCAGACCTACACTAACTGACCAGAAGCATGTGAACGCCTGACCATCAGACCTACACTAACTCGACAAACTCATGTTGACGCCTGACCATCAGACCTACACTAACTGGACAAAAGTATGTGAATACCTGACCATCAGACCTACAGTAACTGACCAGAAGCATGTGAACGCCTGACCATCAGACCTACACTAACTGGACAAAAGCATGTGGATGCCTGACCATCAGACCTACACTAACTCGACAAACTCATGTTGACACCTGACCATCAGACCTAAACTAACTGGACAAAAGCATGTGGATGCCTGACCATCAGACCTACACTAAATGGACAAAAGTATGTGAATACCTGACCATCAGACCTACAGTAACTGGCCAAAAGCATGTGGACACCGGACCATCAGACCTACAGTAACTGGACAAAAGACTGTGGACACCTGACCATCACACCTACAATATATGGCCTAATGTATGTGAACACCCCTCCAATTTATTGAGGTCAGTTGATTTCAGTGAAGTGTACTGTTATTGCTACAGCATACAAAGACATTTTAGACATTTTTGTGTACTTCCAACCTTGCAGCAACAGTTTGTAGAAGGCCCTTTCTGTACCAACATGACTGTGCTCCTGTGTACAAATCCAGCTACATAAAGACATGGTTTGATATGGAGATACTCAAGTGATCCTGACTTTAACCCTACTGAACAGCTTTGGGATCATTTGTAACACTGATTGCAAGCCAGATCTTTACATTACACATTCTTACTTGACCTCACAACTGCCATTTTGATTGATTTGGGTACAAATTCACACTCCAAATTCTTGTGTAGAGGCTCCCAAGAAGAGTGGAGGTTATTATAGCTGCTAAATAAATAATGGGCATCGTTTTAGAGGGGGATGGCCAACAAATTCAAGGATATTGTGAATAGGTGTTCACTGACTTTGTTGATTTATATAGTGTAGGTCTGCATCCATTGTCCAGGGTCCTACTGCAAACCAAGCCATCCACAGTGAGTGAAGTGTCCAACTGAGCTTCCCTTGTATGAAAAGTTTTGGTCAGTTTTCAGTTTCAATTGTGTATCTGAAAGAGAATCTTAAATATATTTCCACCTTATTATATGCTATTCTAAGGGGAACCTATCATGATGGCTCTATTACAGCTGAGGTTCCAGTCATTGCCTGTCTTGCGCCTTCTGAGACAAAGCATGGCCTCTTGACTGCCTTGGAACTAGCAATACCTGCAGGAGCAACACAATGGCAGCCAGTGGCATCCTTGGCTGGTAACAGCAGTCCTGACCGGTTCCCTTAGACCTGGAACCTTAGCCAAAACTATTTTCTTGTTTTGGATAGACTGGGTAAGGATTAGAACTAAGAATGTACCGAAATTTCGGCCGCCAAAAATAGCACTTTTGGCAAAATGCCGAAAGTGCCATCTTTCAAACGAAATTGCGGTGCATGCCTGGTTTCTCTCCTCCCCGCTGGGTGCTGCTATGTGTCCCCTCTGACACAGCACAGCGTCCAGCGGGGAGGAGAGAACTGCCACAGAAGGTCGAGCGGTGCTGATGTGTCACAAGAGGCTGGGCTCTCCTCCCACACCGCCCCGGTCAGCCACCTGTGACAAATCAGGAGAGTGGTGTGGGGGCGGAGACAGCTGTCACAGGAGGTCGGGCCGGCGGTGTGGGGGAGGAGTCGGCTGTCACAGGAGACCAAGCTCTCCTCCATGCACCGCTCACTCAGCCTCCTGTGACAGCGTGTCAGGATGGAGAGCGGGTACAAGCAGTCAGTGATCAGTGATCTCTAAGTGCTTGTAAATAATTCAGGACAGAGTATGTTTACTGTATACTCAATTATGAATGAATGGGAAGTGATCTAAGTCACCTCCTGTTCATTCATGATTGTGGACATGGGAAACATACCATGCCCACAAGTTATGAATGAACAGGAACACTCAGTATAGAGACTTCCTGTTCAATTATAACAGGGGCTGCAGAAAAAGAGATTGAGGGCTCTGTGTCCTCAATCTCTTTCTCTATTTTAAAAGGGAAATATCAGGGGTCTGTTTAGACCCCTAATATTTCCCCAGAGTCCCCAACAGTAAAGTAAAAAAAATAAAAATATTT